CTCTTTCTGAAAGTTCAAAGCTGTCTTGGCACTGTCTTCACTGAAGCTTGGTGATGGTGCGTGGAACAGCGTTCTTGCAGCAAAGCGGGGCTGCTGCAGCGTGCTGTGTGGAGGGAGGAGTGCCACCTCGCAGGGTGCCCTGCGTTGGAGCACCTCACCTCTCAGCCCTCACACCCACCTCCCTGGGGTGGAACAGCCATAACTCTCCCCTTCTTTTTGCAGCCGAGTCCTTATTTCAACAGATGTTTGGGCTAGAGGCCTGGACGTGCCCCAGGTGTCCCTGATCATTAACTACGACTTACCCAACAACAGAGAGCTCTACATCCACAGGTGAGCCCAGCCTTGGCGGGGGGGTGTGGCTGGAGCGCCCTCCCCGAGGTGGCTCCCTTCACTCTCTCCTTCTGCTTCCACAGAATTGGCCGGTCGGGCAGGTACGGCCGGAAAGGGGTCGCCATCAACTTTGTGAAGAACGACGACATCCGCATCCTGCGGGACATCGAGCAGTACTACTCCACCCAGATCGACGAGATGCCCATGAACGGTGAGCGCTGGCTGGCAGAGGAACCCCAGATGCTGTGCCCTGCCTCCTCCTTCCCTGGTGGAGAACCTGGGAGCGGCGGGGGCTGCGCCGTGCTGCGGCTCTCGGCACGCACTTACATTCTCTCCTTTTCTCTCATTTCAGTTGCTGATCTTATCTGAAGGGCTGGGTTTAGCCGGGAGCTGTAACTCTTCAGTAGCCTCAAGTCTGTTTCGGACCCACATCCTTTTATCGTACCCCTGATCATACCTTCTTGAGTTGAGCTGCGCGTGGGAACTTGTGTAAATAATGTCTTTACTCCCACCCATGTTTTTCAATAAAAAAAAAAAAAGGAAGTTTTACCATAACCTGTGCTTAATTCCTTTAACCCAAGATAGTAACAGGCAGGGAGTTTTGAAATGCTACTGGACATGGCTAGCACAACCAAAGAAAACATTTGCCACAGTTTATTTAGGTTCATAAAATGCAGTTTCCTGTTCCCCACCCTTTCACTATCGCCGTGCCCTGCTACCTGCTGGGCTCTTTAGTTTCCTTAACTTGACTCTAAGGATCAGCCATCTACAGGAAAAATCTGTGGCCTCTCCCTAATCTGCTCTAAGTTATATAAGATAACCAGAAAAGAAATTTCCTGTTGTTTATGCCTTTCTGGAGCTAGAAATCACATTACTTGTTGCTGTGGATGAGTATTTTACCTCCCAAGGAACCCAGGGACTGAGCAGGCACTTGGGAAGGCGAGTGCCTGTGATTTGGGGCCAGCTGGAGAATCTACTGATTCGTGTTTGCATGGGGACTAACAAAAAGGGCGAATAATCTTACCACCTTCTCCACTCCTCTCTGATGCTGTAGCTGGTTCCATCTTCCCAGTGGTGTCTCCTCAGGCGGCTCCCTGCCCCCTCGCGTGGTGCTGTTCCAGCTGTAGCCCCTGCTGTGTCACCACATCTCGCTCCAGCTGCTGCTCTTCAAGGGGCTCTTGCTCACTCAAGGAGGGCAGGGGGGGAGCAAGGCCTTAGCGCAGCACCCAGCTCTCCCCCCCCCCCCCCCCCCCGGGGCGCGGGGGGTGCTCCCTCCCGCTCATTTGTCACCCCCGGGGACGGCGACGACGCCGTTGCGGTTTCCGCGGTGACCCCGGACGGCTGACCTCGGGCAGGGCGGGCGGCGGGACATGGTCCATGCGGACGGCGGAGCTGACGTACTGCACGGCGTGATGGCGGCCGGCCCTGAAGAGCGCCTCGGCCTGCTGCAGGGCGGCCAGCCCGGGCTGGAAGAGCCGGAACCGCTCCGTGTCCACGCCGGGAGCCAGGTGCCGCCCCCCCCCCCCCTCCCCCGAGGGTTGCTCTGGTGAAGGTCCTTGGTCCTCTCGTACCCAGCTCCGTGCCCAAGCTGCTATTAACACAGGCAAGAACGGAGAAAGACTGACTTTATTCTACTAAGAATTCCAATTCTAAGGTGGTGGCCAATAGTGGTGGGGCTGCTACAGCTTCATGCCCCTGTGTGCCACCAGCTGCCAGGCTGAGCCCGTGTTGCCCGTAGGCGCACACCCCACACACGGGTCCCCATTCCCTACTGGCACAGCCAGCCCCAGCGCTCTCCTCCCGCCCCATGGGCTGTCAGTCACAGTGAACCCCCCCAGTCACCGGGAGTTGGACTCTGCCTCCTGCTCCAGGAGCTGGCACAGACACGGCCGGTTGCTGGTTCAGCCCCCCCTCACACACCCCCTGGGGACAGTGAACAGCCTTCACCGCAGGCACACATGGACCCCTTTTGTTCCTGGCCACCCCCCAGAGGAAGGCACACGCACACAGAGAGGGCTCTGCTGAACCCCAACAGTCAGCTGGGACGTCCCAGTCCCCCCCTCTTGGCTCCTGCAGAAATAGATGCAAATCCAGCCCAGCCTGGGGGCTCTCCCAGGCCCGTTACCTACTTCTGGCCACATCTGGCTCCGTGCTCCTGTGCTGACACCCCACAGCTGCTGGCACTCGCTTCCCGCTCGCTCCTGGTCCCAACACAAAGCCCCCAGGTACCAAGGCCCCTCTCCCCTCACTGGCCCTTAGAACTCCACAGGCACCAGAGTCCAGTCCCCTCTCCCAGGAAGAGGGTGAAAAATGGAGTCAATGGAGCAAATGGGACGGACGCAGCCAGACAAGAACCCTCACAAGCAACCAGTCCCTTCATCCTCTGCTCCCAAAACATCACCCTTTGATCCCTCCCACAAAGCTGGGGATTTTTGCATTTAATCTGCACCCTCCCGGCCCCGTGCTCAGGAACTCCCCCCACACCCCGCTGCACTCCTCTGGATCAAGCCTTCCAGCTTCTCCATCCCCATCCTGGACAGAGTTCTCTCACCCTCGCTGCAGGGCACGGCCCAGCCTTGACCCCCCCATGTGACCCTAGTCCTTTGACTTATAAATTAATCACCAAAGCATTAGGTTGTTTAAATATCAGTATTTAATCTGTACAGTTTGAGAGACGATATCATAAAATGCAACATTCCTACCTCATCTTCAGCATCGTTCACCTGGAGGTGAGACCTCCTCTGCAGAGGGCAGGCAACCCCCACTCCCCCACAGCTCCCTTAGTACAAAAGTCACAGTGCAATCGCTTTAGTCTCAGACAGATGATTTCTGGAAGGAGACTGATGAAGCTCAAATGTTGATGGAAATTGTTACCATTTAGGAATGCGAAAAACCCCAGCTATTGCACAGAGTCGTTTCCAGCTGAAACTACAGCACTTCAGCAGCTGCCCCTCACGCCCCACACACCTGGTAATGCCTCAGTTCTTACTGATTTAGTCAAGAGTGAAAACAGAGCCAGTAACAGGATTTCAGAACAATGGGGTGGTTGGAGGGCAGGGACTGACAATAACTCCACAAGTCAAGCAGCGTGCTTTAGGTGACAAAAAAGTTTTGCTATGGGCGGGGGGGGACACGAGCCAGACAGGTGTCATCTTCCAGAGACAGGCATGAGAGGAACATCAGCTCCAATAGAAAGCCATGAAGTATAACAGACAATTTGTTCATATAATTGTCAGGATAAGTATTTAACATAGTTTATGTAGTAGAATACATACTCCAACATCTTTTAAAAATAAGCACGAATTTCATTTCATATATACACAACTGATTTTAATCATGTACTGAAAATAAATTACAGGAAATAACTTTAAAATGCAACAGAAGACAAGAGTTTCACAACAAACATTCCCACTGATTTTCCCAAGGGGGTGAGAGATTGCAGTGCTCAAGGCGGGTAAATATCACAAATATATCAAAAAACTTCAAATTGTTGATGCATTCACACATTTACATGAGCCACAAACATTCCTTTACAGGGACTGCACTTAGCTACCACAGAACCAGGTTTTGCCATAAACTACAAAACTTTGATACAAAATTGTATTTATATATTTATATTTCATATACATGCCCTATCTGTGATTCCTTAAAAAATAAAAACTAAACACACTGTACAGACAATCCTAACTCATTGCTTGGTAGCTGTAGGCAACAGTTTTGGATGGAATTTCTCCCCCAGTAGAATTAATGGCAATATTATATACATGAAGGCTAAACTGCAGAGAAGGACAGCTCCGTTCTGATCCGCCCCCCCCGCCCCAGGTCTGCCAGCTCAAAGCCAGAC